AAATAAAACTCAAGATATACCCGAAATTATATTAAAGTCTTTAAGCAATGCATGTATACTTCTTTGTGATAGTTTTTATAATGAAACTCGTTTAAGAAGACTCTTTATTATTAATGCGATAAACATTCAGATTAGACACGCAATTATAGACACTATACCTGATAAATATTTATTTGGAGAAAACATTAGTGACAAATTAAAAGAAATCGAGCGATATTTTAAAACCAAGCCATAGATTTATTAGGAATTCACCATCTGCCGATTCCAAAAGGAATTTAAACTAGAAGGGCCCATCTCGGAGGATTGCTGTCCGATCCGACATGGGCAGGCCGCGGCCACAGCATCGAACAGTCCAAACTACGGCAAGGACCATCTACCGCAGACGCAACAAGCATCACAGCCATCTAGCGATGCACTCTTGTTATGCGCCTCACAATCAACATCGTCACTGAACATTGAGGTACGATATGCTGGTCGCTTGTCTCACTTCTCTCAACAATGGGAGACTATCACGGGAGACCTTCTCCTACTATCATGGCTGAGTGGGTATAAAATTCCTTTCATTTGTAATCCACGTCACGATATCCCACACACTATTGCAAGATCGATTGCGGAATTAAATGCTCTTAATACCTGCATTAAAAAACTATTACTTATCGCTGTTATTTCTGAGTCTAGTCACCAAAACGATGAATTCATTAACAGTGCGTTCTTAGTGCCAAAATCTAATGGCGATAAGCGATTTATATTAATAAAGTGTCTCAAAATATCGTAAAGACAGTCCACTTTAAATTGGAAGACTACCATACGGCTTTAAAATGATGTCACTAAATTGTTAATCTATCGAAATGCAGATGCTTTGTCACCCGTGAGGATTAAGATGGAATGCCTCGTTTCACGTAAATAGGTTAAGTCTCCGGTTCTCTACACTCACCATAGGGAACATAGCAGTATTGATTGAGATGCTATTTTACGCTGGTATTCTGTGAGAGCGTGGTCCTTTCCCGGTCGAGCCGAACCATTCGTGCTACAACCGTACTAATAATTATTTGCTAAATTATTAAAACCCGTGGTACCTGTGAAGTAACGGCACGGTTTTTGCTAAATACTAAAATAAAGACACAGTCATTGATCAAAACTCCTTTGCGCGATCAATACTGTCAAATAAATTGTCAATGATTAACATAATGTACACAAAGTGCTGAAAATGAACGAAAGAATGGAGCTGTTGGCATAATAAGGATCGAACTTCACTTGGTAAGTTCGTTTGATCACTAACTTTAGTTCACATCTTCGCCCACGGGACTACTCCGCAGCCTACGAAAACTATATTTTTACGTAATTTAGGAAGTTAGGGAAAAGAAAAGGAAAGTTAGGATAAGGTGGCTGCCAACATTGGTTTAATTCTAATTATTTGTGATTCAGACAAACCTTGATCCCATCTTGACTCGCACTTGGCCAGTTTTTTATTACTTTGTGGATTTTAAATCATGTTGTGGAAAAATAGTCTTATAGTAACAAATAATAGCAATCATTGCGATCGCCCACAAACTCAAGTTGTAAATAAATTTCTGGAAAACAAATCTCCTGTTAAAAACAACGATGCGTTTGTCTTATTGTTTAATTTTGCTTAAAATGGTTAATCTGTCGTCTTATTACTATCATGTGGCCGAATAGACCTACGAAGTACCATGTGCTCTTGTGATATAGTATAAGGTTTATTTTTGCTTCAAACAGTGCGAAACTGTTTATGCATAAAAAAATTTCGCTAATAAAAAGTCTTTTGTCAATCCGCCGCCGTATAGCGCCGGCGTTTTTTTCCTTTTGAAAACACTTGTTGTGGTATTCTTACTAATTAGACGTATTCAGATCGACTTTACTTTTACATTTGTATAACATTAAATAATATTTAACATTTGTAAATATCAATGGATCATAAACCTCATTATTTTCCAAATTAAAATTCTTGATTGTTTGATATTTACAAATGTTATTATTAGGTGAAAATTTAATTTATTAAAAACCGAGGTTTTCCAGGGTGATTTAGGTGTACCTACTTATATATATGATTTTTTTATAAAACAAAAAATAGTACAAAAGGTTTGTAATCTCTGCATAAAAAAGTCACTTACTCTCAATTTCAAAGAAAACACGTAGAAAAACACGTAGTTACCCACTAAAAACAAGTATCTTTCCGTTTTTAACTGATGTTTGATGTCAACTAAATTTAATTAGGTCTAAACAAGTGAAAAAAGCATAAAAAAGAAAATTTTTTTTACACATGGCTGATGGCACAATAGGCGTATCATCAACTTTTGTGGCGCTTGACACGCCAGGCGTGAAATATTTGTTCGCCGCCACAGCTAAAAGTTGTCGAAAATCGGTGCCGCAACGAATTACGCATTATTGAGGATAACTCAAAAACGTTCAGTTAGATCTTGATCAAATTTATATGGGGCCACATGAGAAGCACCAGCTTTCAAATAAAAAAGAATCATCAAAATCGGTTTAACTAGAAAAAAATTCTAAGGTAACACATAATAACACAACCTTCTAGTTTTTTGAAGTCGGTTGAAAAATTGTGGGCTTTCAAATAAATACGAATGGAGCCGCGGGTAAAAACTAGTGCACACTAAGTCTTTTTTTTCGTTTTAGTACATTTAAGTTTTGTATAAACTAAAGTGACACGGGAACTTACTGTACATGATCGTAAATAACCACTGTCCGTGGGCACTTGCCGCTAAAGGTAATGCCACTAAACAAAGGCTATCAATAATAATGTTACATACAATTATGTAACAATCCTAATAACTAGAGGAGGACTGTACTCAGCAGTGTGACTTATGTAGGCTATACTTTACTTTTCACATTGTCTATCGCTCTCGTGTTTCCCTTTTGCTATTTAAGACAGAAAATTACTTACACATTTCACCTCTTTTATCTTCTCTTCTTATCGTGGTAGAGCCATGCTGCAGATATATTAGTAGTAGATATAGTTGTTGCACGATCGGCTCGACCGAGGAAGGACCACGCTCTCGTAGAATACCAGCGTAAAATAGCAGCTCAACTCTGCTGTGTTTCGTATTTTGAGTGTAGAGAACTGGAGAACCTTTTTAATGGAAATGAGGCATTCCATCTTAGTCCTCACGAGTGGCAAAGCATCTGCATTTTTATTTGTAATAGAGGATAGATGTAGATGTCTATGGGCCGCAGCAACCACTTACCATGAGGTGGACTGTGTGCTCGTTTGTCACCCTTATTCTATAAAAAAACCTCACTGTAGGGAAATATAACAAAAGGAAATAGGCACTGTACGTAAAGACCATTAATACTATTTGGCTTCATTCGTTCAATAAATAAAAAAATAATAAAGTAAACGAATCTTTATTGAAATCTGGCGAGATCACATTTTAATAATATAATGTTACATACAATTATGTAACAATAATTACCATAATACGATTTATTATTGTACATATTATAATTACAATTACGTTGAACAGGGAAGTCCGTAGACTGCCTACCCCTCTGCGTAACAGGTGTGAGAGCTTATGTTTTTATGAATATAATTACTTACAACTAAATTTAAAAATACGACATCTATGTGAAAATTTAATAAATTTTATTTATTTAATCGTATAAATGTTACAGAATAAAAATTAATAAACATTACACATTCCATCTTAATCGTCAGGAAAGACATCGCATTCTGCATTCATTTCAGCATCCACTTAGGACTATTATTTTATACGTGGTAGAGCCATGCTGCAGCTATATTAGTAGCATAGTTGTAGCACGAATGGGTCGGCTCGACCGGGGAAGGACCACGCTCTCACATAATACCAGCGTAAAATAGCAATTTAACACTGCTGTGTTTCGTATGATGAGTGTAGAGAACAGGAGACCCTTTTTACTGGAAAAGAGGCATTCCATCTTAGTCCTCACGGGTGACAACGCATCTGCATTTTGATTCGCAAACGAGGATAAATGTAGATGTCTATGGGCCACAGCAACAACTTACCATCAGGTGGACTATGCGCTCGTTTGTCACCCGATCCTATAAAAAAATTAATTAGGAAGGCGAGGTTTGTCACTATACTATAAAAATATAAGTTTATTACGCCATTTAAAACACAATTAAAGTTTTTGTAATATAATATTGTTAGTTATAGCTGTGATGTCGGCGTGATTGTACCCATTATTTCATCCCGTGGGCGCGGGTTCGAATCTAGAAAGGATCGAAATGACCACGTCAGAATCAGACCAGATACCGAATCAGAGCGGTGTCGGTATTATCTCGTGCATGATAGAACTTTATACCCAAACCGACGACAGAAATAACTGATCCGGCTGCCAAGCGCGACGATTATGGCAAATTCTTCTGGTAGTGAGAAGTTGATAATTTTGGGCGAATAAAAAATGAAATGATTAGACGATAACCTTCGGATCAAAATTCGTTTTCGTTGCATCCGCTTAACATTCAATTTTATCTTATTTTTTATTGTTAACAATCAAAACTTAACTGTAAGTAAAGTTGAAAACAAAAACAAAATCAGATTTCTTTAGAAAACCAGCTCCTAGAAAACAATGACTTTTATTTCTGATTTTGTTGTTTGAGGGTAGATAAAAAATTGCGAGGGACCGTACATCGAAGGAATTTTAAATTTTTTTATGATAAGAAATATCAAATAGCCTTACTTTTTCTTAACATACTTTTACGTACTTGTAAATTTATAAAAACCTGGTTACTTAATATAAGGTAATAAAAATATTATTTCACAACCATATAATTTTACTTTCCCGAAAGAAATATCAATAATCGATGTGGATAAAATTCTTACAAATTTTTGAAAAAATATTTATAATAATTACTTATTATATATATTTAATTAACTTACCTATATACTAACATTATATTTAATCTCTTAAAGTGTAAATTATTGTAGGTCTAATCTAGCGTATTTATTTATACAAATAACGTATTAAGAAATATTATGATTTTACAAATGCTTTCGTACGTCGTGAACCATCAGATTCTTAAGATAATTGTCGTCTTCAGCGAGACATTCGACAATATCAAAGTGATCTAAATCGTCTTTTATTTCCAAATACATATTCTGCATAAGACACGTGTTGTGGAGGAGTTCGTAGAACTCTCTAGACTGTTTTTTGAACGCCGGGCTGTCGTTTTGTGCGGCTAGAATGTACACTCTTACTCTTCTTGCCTGCAAATGAGTATAGCAATCGAACAATGGCGACAGTGGTATTGCCCACTCATGTGGGAGTTGTACAGCGTCATTGACAGATGTATGGACTAACTCCCGTAAATCGTATATACCCGAGATAAGGAAAGCTCCTTGTAACCGATGCGATCCTGGATTGTCCTCGAAGAAATCGACGTTGCTTAACAGCTTTGCCACTAAGTGAGCGCCGGCTGAGTGACCCGCAAAGTACACGCCTCTGTAAATAAATAAAATAATTAGAGCATTATAAATAAAGAAAAAAGGAAAGCTGATGATCTATGACCCAGTTCCTTCTCTGCGTAGAACTTCTCTGAATTTCACACATCACTATCCTTATAGCCTTTGAAGAGTTCTCTAAAGAGTAAGAAGGCCAATTTTCAGACATTCATAATAAACAATAACGTATACAGTTGGTAAATAAAACTTGTCAATATAGCCAAATCTTTTACGTATATGTTCAAATTGCAAAACGTGTTTTTTTTTAAATATTCTCGGGCTTAAGGAAGTGTCTTTGTAACGAAAGAAGTCCCTTAGCAACGGCACCATATGATATATAGGCTACTACTACAATTGCATATTTTATATTATTCTTCACAGCTTCATTCTAGCGATTTATGTTAACTTGTAGCTCCATCTCATAGCTTCCAGCCTTGCACGGTACTTAAAGGCAGAAAAAATTATTTAATGGCAATGCAAAAAAATTTATAATAATATTATTTTATGGAATGAAATACATAAATTCATAAAAATATTGTCATGGAAATTGTGATGCGGGAAACTATGAGAGTTCTCTCTGTCACGGCAAAATAAATTAATATTAACGAATTTTTTTATTTTTTAATAAGGCTTACCAACTAAATACATAAAAGGAACTTATAATATCACGATTTTTGAAAAATACATTATACATATGCGTTTAAATTAAAGGTATGCACAGCATTTTTTAATAATAAAAGACGTTGTTTTACATAATACATATTAAATTTTTTAAACTTTTTTTAGTACAGAAAAAAATATGAAAGAATTAGAAACCAAAAATAAAAACTAAAAACTAAAAATGGCTCTTGCAACAATCCAAAATCGATTTTTTTTAAAGTAGTAGGTTTTTCACAAAAGACTAACTAACTATATAATATACGAGCATAGTTTTTCGAAAAATGATTAGATATTTTTATGACTACATATTATACAAATTGAATATATACAAAACTAATTTAATTACAGGTGTCACGTCAACCCGTACCGGCAATGAAATAAATAACGAGATGCAAGACATCACCTTTGATGACGGCATTATGGGCCAGCCTGACCACCTGATTTCACCGAACATGACCATTGTAACCGAAATTACCTCCGAACCAGTGCCGTCGTCTGTGCCCGACGCTATGGAGGTCAAGTTAGAAGAGTCAATTTTAAGTTTGTTGCGAGATGCTCAGAGTGCGATTCACTTAGGGTCACCAGTACACAAAGATATCGCATTTCGATGACTAGAAATTTTACCAAGAGTATTTAAAGAAGATACAAAGTTGAAACTTTTAATTGATTATATAATAATAATCACTTAATAATACATAACAATATTTACAGACTCATATCGCCTATCTTAAATGCTGAAGTAAAAGCTTCATTACCTGTTACATTAGTTAAACGTGTCCTTACATCAACGACAAAACAAAAACAAATAGCGATCACCTTGTATTCGCTTAGTGCATCTATGGATATACTATTGACAAATAAAACTCAAGATATACCCGAAATTATATTAAAGTCTTTAAGCAATGCATGTATACTTCTTTGTGATAGTTTTTATAATGAAACTCGTTTAAGAAGACTCTTTATTATTAATGCGATAAACATTCAGATTAGACACGCAATTATAGACACTATACCTGATAAATATTTATTTGGAGAAAACATTAGTGACAAATTAAAAGAAATCGAGCGATATTTTAAAACCAAGCCATAGATTTATTAGGAATTCACCATCTGCCGATTCCAAAAGGAATTTAAACTAGAAGGGCCCATCTCGGAGGATTGCTGTCCGATCCGACATGGGCAGGCCGCGGCCACAGCATCGAACAGTCCAAACTACGGCAAGGACCATCTACCGCAGACGCAACAAGCATCACAGCCATCTAGCGATGCACTCTTGTTATGCGCCTCACAATCAACATCGTCACTGAACATTGAGGTACGATATGCTGGTCGCTTGTCTCACTTCTCTCAACAATGGGAGACTATCACGGGAGACCTTCTCCTACTATCATGGCTGAGTGGGTATAAAATTCCTTTCATTTGTAATCCACGTCACGATATCCCACACACTATTGCAAGATCGATTGCGGAATTAAATGCTCTTAATACCTGCATTAAAAAACTATTACTTATCGCTGTTATTTCTGAGTCTAGTCACCAAAACGATGAATTCATTAACAGTGCGTTCTTAGTGCCAAAATCTAATGGCGATAAGCGATTTATATTAATAAAGTGTCTCAAAATATCGTAAAGACAGTCCACTTTAAATTGGAAGACTACCATACGGCTTTAAAATGATGTCACTAAATTGTTAATCTATCGAAATGCAGATGCTTTGTCACCCGTGAGGATTAAGATGGAATGCCTCGTTTCACGTAAATAGGTTAAGTCTCCGGTTCTCTACACTCACCATAGGGAACATAGCAGTATTGATTGAGATGCTATTTTACGCTGGTATTCTGTGAGAGCGTGGTCCTTTCCCGGTCGAGCCGAACCATTCGTGCTACAACCGTACTAATAATTATTTGCTAAATTATTAAAACCCGTGGTACCTGTGAAGTAACGGCACGGTTTTTGCTAAATACTAAAATAAAGACACAGTCATTGATCAAAACTCCTTTGCGCGATCAATACTGTCAAATAAATTGTCAATGATTAACATAATGTACACAAAGTGCTGAAAATGAACGAAAGAATGGAGCTGTTGGCATAATAAGGATCGAACTTCACTTGGTAAGTTCGTTTGATCACTAACTTTAGTTCACATCTTCGCCCACGGGACTACTCCGCAGCCTACGAAAACTATATTTTTACGTAATTTAGGAAGTTAGGGAAAAGAAAAGGAAAGTTAGGATAAGGTGGCTGCCAACATTGGTTTAATTCTAATTATTTGTGATTCAGACAAACCTTGATCCCATCTTCTCGGCGTACTCGAAAATGAATCTTGCGGCATTTTCAATCTGTTGCACTATTTCTGGAAGCGTAAAGGAAGGGCATAGATCGTACCCAACCACAATTGTCTTGATCCGAGAGCGGTAAAGCGGCACCACAGGGTACCGAGATATCTCCCGCGATAGCTCCTGCCAGTAACCTCCGTGGACGTATACCAGGATTGGAGAATCTGTAAGAAAATTTTAATTTTTTTTAGTTGATCTTCTTAACCTAATTCATGTTTCTATGATAAAAGTGACAAACGAACACACAGTTCACCTGATGGTAAGTGGTTGCTGTGGCCCATAGACATCTACATCTATTCTCGATTACATTATTGTTTACGCCAGACGTTACCCACAACGACCATGCGTTAATTGACCTGTCTAGAATGACGATTAAGGCTAATTCTCCCAAGAGCATATGTCCAGTCGATGACTTTTACGGATTGATGATGATGATGACTATTGATTATACCAAATTTTATGTTCTAATAGTACCTAAGTATAAACTTCAATTTATAGATTTAGAAACCGTTTTGCTTATATTGGGTATGACGACGATTCAAAACGAATCGTTTTGGTTTAAGTAATAAAATATAACACAAATTTAAAATAAAAAAAAAACGAAATAAAAAACAGCTAATGACCTTGAAACGGCTGAACTGATTTCGATAAACATGTTTAAGAACTACCGCTAAAAAATCTGCTTATAATTTAAAAAAAAAAACCACACCCAAATCAGTTCACCCGCTTAAGAGCTACGGTGCCACAGACAGACACATAGACAGGCAGACGGTGACACATAGCGGTCAAACTTACAACACCTATTTTTGCGTCGGGTGTCGCATATATATATAATATGTATAAAATATATATAAAAACGCGCGAATATATATAAAAAGGACGATATTGGACTTTCTGGAGGGATGAAATATTTCCACTCCCTCTACTTCATTCTTAGATAACATAATTTATCTATGTAAGGTTTTCTGGAAGAAATCACTTTAATATGTCACATATAGTGTCGAGGTAATATTATAAAATATATCAAAAGAAAACTCAAGTAAGCAATCGTGATCAAATAATCATTAAATCTTGGTCAAAAGTTTCCATACATTAGATAACATAAATAATATTATAATTTAACTGTTGTAATCGTACACCCGTTAATCGATGGATTCAAAAACAAGCGCGTAACATGTTTTCAAAATTAACATTCTGCTGCTAAAAATTCATATTGGTTAATTTACATCAGGTGTAGATCATGTTTATCTACACATGACTTACCGGTGTAGATAAACAGGATCTGATTGACTTTAATTTTTAATATTTTCAAACTAAGTAAATACGAGTAAGTAGAAATGAGTAAAAACTTAAATCTCGCGACAAGCTTTTATATCATATAAATTGTGTAAGGACGTTATAAGTTGATACTAAAAATTTTAAAGGAAAAGTTTATTTTTTATTCTTTTTAGCGCATTTAAATAAAAGCTTGTATTAAAAAAGTTTCTTTTTTACTTTTAATTTATCTCATCTAAATTCGTACATAACGATACTACTAAAAGCGAAGTATAATAGTTGTTTCCAGTAATTAAAAAAATGGCGGGAATTAACCGCTACATGGATGACAGTTACAGATTTTCAATATTTGACACATAGGATGGATGACATTTACTGTTGAGGGGTTAAGATGTATTTCCGAATATATATAAAAATAAATATTATATAAAATATTTATTCTACAAATAAATTATTATAATAATTATTAAATCTACATATTATAATGATATACCTACATAAAATAATGATTCATTTCAAACGTTGTATTACGATTTTATGGAACTAAGCTACCTATAAACAAACTACAAAATATATAAAGAAATTACGATTTATACACATTGACTTACTTATATATTACTATAACGTATTATGCATAATTTTCAATACTCGTACTATTTCGGTAGCATCATCGTACGAGTAACATAGAATAGGAACTATGGGTGGAAACGGTTATCATAAAAGTTAAAAAGTTAAAGTTACAGCTTATAAACGTCCCACTGCTGGGCACAGGCCTCCTCTTATTTCTGAGAGGGTTTATCATAAATCTGTTTTAATTGTCATATGCCAATTTCGTAGCGATTCAATGGGAGAAATTATTTTCCAAGTGTTCACTTTATTAAACGGTATTTACTGAATGAATTCATTAAAGAAAACGAGTTTCAACATGACAAATGTCTTATGTTCGTTATGACCCTATTAGTTATCACCATTTTAGAAACTAAAATAACAAATTTAGAAATAACAAAAATAACAAATTTAGAAATAACAAAAGTAACAAATTTTTACTATTCCAAGAGGTAACCGAAAATTAGAGACAAACGTACTTTAGAGTACTCTAGAATCTAGATACTTTAGAAGAAAACAGAAACATGACATGGTTTAAGTTTATCTTTGTTCACTTTTACTATGAAAATTATTCACATGCTTTGCTGCTTTGCTGTTTTAATGCAGTGCTTGACTAATTCTTATTCTTACAATTTTGAAGTGACCCGTGTAATGGCGGTGTAAGAATATCTACTACCCCATATTGTCCCGTGGATCAAAGACGGCAAAGAAGAACTGAAATAGTTAATGGGCATCTTCCTGATAAGACCTCAAAATGATAAAAAACTACGGATCGTCAACCCGCCTCTCAAACGTGGTAATTATGGAAAAATATGAGGAAAGAAATGAGGCAATCTGCGGAGGAGGCCTGTGTTCAGCAGTGGACTTTTATAGGCTGCAATAGATCTTCCGTGCAGCGACTATGGTTTCTGAACTTAATTAAACGTCCAAAGTTCAGGTTAGAGCAAATCTTTACTCTCATAAACCAAAGGTGGTATAACGATCGCGTTCATATTTTGAATTCAATAATAATTCGGAGGTGAGTTGGTTCTGTTTGCGATGAAGGAAAATGTTTCACATTTTATAACTATGATTTAAGGACAAGGAACTTGACACCCGTCCAGATCTCTAATCTTTTATAGGCCAAGCCGACCACAAGAATGTCCATGTCATTTGTTACGAACTTGGCTTCTTTTTCATAAGTGTTTCATATTAAGTCATTGTTATGGTTTATCTAAAGGACTTGAACTAACCGCAACAACTACTTTTTGACAATGAATGTTGATAATTTGTATTTTAATATATTTTTGTCAAATGAATCAGTCAGTCAGTGAAATATAATATATAAAAAAGGCACTCTTTAGACCTTAGTAACACAAGAACTATAATAGTTTTATTTATAAAATTTGTTTGTCATCTTTATTCTCTAAATAAAAGCACAGCAGTTGTGTTATACCGATGCAAAATTCTTGAAAGTTTCAAACCAATAAATTTGAACGAATTAAACGAAAACATCAATGTCGCCATTACATCAGATTTGATAGACCACAAATCCTCGTAAAAAAACACCGATTCGGTGCTAAAAATCATCCCAATTTTAATGGGAAGATGTTAAGGCACAGCTGTTAAAGTCAGTATTATAACAATAATAAAACTTAACGAAATAAAATTTCTAGTTTCATTCAATGCTAATTTTGCAGTTCTGTAATTTAAAGATTCTGAGAACGAAAGATCTTCTAATATCGCTTTTTTATGAATGAGAGTAATTTTGTGTTTACAATTAACTAAGGAATAATAATATACTCATACAATCTTATTATCGCCAATCACAGGTTGTTCCATTCCATCTTATAATACTATTTGTAGGTGATGTTTTTGTGTTTCATGTATTTAATGCATTTCTTAATTATTTTGTGTTAAATGTATTTCATTATGAACGGCGATTTATTTTTGCTAAATTCATTTTCGTTAATTACTGGTTGCAAATACTTCTGTTATTATTAAAAGTCGCTAGGCTGATCACCACATTGTTGAATACATACTTGACATTCTAACCAAACGGTCTATTTCATCGTTCATACCGTTTACAGTAGAGTAGTAATATAATCTGCCAGCAGTTGCCTTTCGATTCTATTTCAGCGTAGGTTTTCACGAACTAGTCCTATTTTTTCCGATATAGCCCTTATGGCAGTATCGCTGGAGGATCTAAGCACTATGCTCAATGACCTCAATAGTGTCTCCCAACGGATAGGTCTTAAGATGAACATGGACAAAACAAACGTCCATGTCACACATATGCCGGTAGTTCTTGGGAGCACTAAGCTCGAAGTTGTTGACGAGTATGTTTACCTGGAATAAAACTATTTTTACGGATTTTATCGCGTTTAATTTACTTATTTTATATTCCCGACGTTTCGGTTGCTTTCCAGCAACCGTGGTCACGGGGGACTGAGGTGATTGACGTCCCGATGTCAAAGTTAACCCGGAGTACCTTCAGCTTTTTAATTATTAATTTTGGTCCGATCTACGCAGAATGAACTAACTGTGTCTTGAAGTCTTACAGTGGTATGCTTGGGTTTAGTTTTAATTTTATGAATTACAGGATCCTAAGCAGGTGGTAGTACCCAGCCTCCCTCTCTATTGAAATTAGGATGTTTTTTAATTTCAATAGCCTCACGTATCATCCTTGGCAGGAATCGATGTTCTTTCGCGAGGACTTGTGGTTTATTAAGGGTGATGGTGGGATTCACCGTTTAAGTATCGGTTGAATCCCACCATCACCCTTCACAGTTAGCTACCGTGGGCAAATCTTTGTTGCAGAGAGCACGAGGGATCTGTGACAGCAAACACCTGGCCGCCGAGCTTCAGCACGTCAAGCAGGTTCTGCACGACAACAAGCTTCGGGTTCCGCGCCTACGTCACAGTGACCGAGTGAAGCCGGCCACAGTGTTCAGCGTTCAGTTCAGCGTGTGCCTGCTGTACTACCATATGTCAGAGGTGTCACAGACAAGATTGGCTACATCTTGAAGCGAGCTTCTATTAGAACATTCTTCAAGCCGCCGAAGAAGATTAGTCAGTTCTTACCATCCGTCAAGTGCAATATTCCTCTACAAGATGCAGGAGTATACAAGCTTGATTGTGAGTGTGGTCTCTCATATATAGGGCAAACAAAACGATCAATAAAAACCCGCGTAAAAGAACACATAGCTGACGTGAAGCACCAACGTTCCGGGAAGTCTGCAGTTTGTGATCATATCCTAAAAGGCCCCCGTCATTACATTAGATTTGATAAACCACAAGTCCT